ATTGACGGTAAAGCGAATATTCGTGATAATGATCGTGATAGTGCACATTTGTCTTTGGTTGATCATGATGAGATGAGAGGAATGCCTACTTCTACTGAGTTGAACAAAGGTTCTGTACTACTTGAACGGGAAGTAGAATTAAAGGCAGATGCAGTTGTGGAAGGTATGGATATTTGTGAGACCGCCACTGTAAATGATCAGCGTGTACCCCACATATCGACAGATGTTAATGCTAAACTGGAGCGAATCAATAAAGATAGCAGTGGCGGTTATCTTGTGGTTAGACAAACTTGTGAAGGTCGAACAACAACAACAGCTTCTGATCCACCGCTAAGTTCATCAGCTGGTATCACTCAGTCGTCATTGGTGTTGTCATCCACATTGAAGGTGACGTCCGTGAACTCAAATGACTTGTGATATGACTATGCTAGTATCGGTCCGTTTGAAAGAACGAAAGTCAGTGGTCAGTTTAGTGGCGATAAGCGAAGTGTGTACGATAGGGTAATTGTTAAATTGACTTGCATGAATAAAGGTATTTCAAGTTCCAAGTTACTATTTGAATGTTATTATCTTTGGTGTAAATTACTCTGTTTCTATACTTGGTTGATGAGGTATGTCGTGTGTTTGTTAGTCATCTATATTCTACGATACAATGACATGGGCGTGTTACCGTTCAGATTTGAGGATATAGCTGATAGAAGGAAGTCAGCAAATGAACTCTGCGACGAATTTCCAACCTAGGGCGTCAACCTGAGAAGGGTCGTAGGCGTACTGGTGTAAGTCCTACCATTCTTCAAAGTGTAGCGCATCAATGAGCAGCACAACGTTCTTGGTGTGTGATTTTGTACATATGTTCATGTTGTATATACTGAATTGGTATCATCTCTCATCTATCTGTTCGTAAATTTGTTTGTGTCCGGACGTCTTCCACTTGTATCATCAACCTGAGTAGGGTTGCAGGTGTACTGCTGTAAGTCCTGCAATTCTTCAAAGGAATTCCGTCGAGACACGATCTGCGAGTTTGTGTGTACTGTTTGTAAATATGTGTGGTGTGTCATATCAGTTGGTGTTTTTTGGATTCATTGTGTTTACTCGTTGTTTTCGTACCTATTTGTTATTGCGTAATTTTGTTAAAATTGTCGTCGTGCTTACTTCTGAAGTTGTTTCTAGTCTTCTACATCCGTGAATGAATTGATTAATGTTAAAGAGAGCAGGTGGGTCGTATATGCCGGGGAGGCTGGTGCTGAGAATGACATGCACACGGGGATAAAGAATAGCTGTGTAATCGATGGTTTAGAATGAATGTTTCTATTTTGGGCTATGGTCTCACACGCCTGGGAGCAAGAGTGTAGACAACTGAGGCTTTCATACGTCACTGTTACTAGAACTGAGGCAGAATGAGTGACAAACGATCGCAGTGGTAATTGATATTGAATAGATAAGATTATGTTCGACGAGTATTATCAGGTGCTGCTATGGTCACGTTGCTTTCTGCGAGAGTCATTCTGGCAAGTTGCGATTGTGTTACAAGATGTCAAGAGGATGCCTTTTTCTGGAAGGCGTAGGTCGTCTTCGATGAGTAAGATTTTTCCGTGCATATGCTTGCTTTGTTTTGGACTATTTTTGTCTTTCTTTTCCATGTATCCCAGTCCCGTTCGGCCCATGTCCTGCATTGACATTTCAGTTCGAGTTTTTCATCGCTGTTGGAAATAGTAGTGGGCCCTATTTTGCCGGGGAGTGTCAATGTAGTTGAGGATTGAACGATTAATTCATGGTTGTTTGCTCAAACTCAGCTCCTCCATATTATTCGCGGGAGTCATCAATCCAACAGTCATCGTCTCATCGTTCGCTGCTTAGCGGAAGATAAAAGACTATCAGAAGTACCATCGTGATTTATTGTTGTAACATTTATTCTTAGACCCTGTGTGTAATAACCTTATTGTTTGTTACGTATTGGTGTAAGAATAAAGGATTCTCGAGTCGCCAATCTGTGTTCTGGTTTTTTCGCGTTGGTTATTACAAATTGTTTCTGAAAGTCTTCGAGGGACAGCGTGAGGTCCAGCGTAGTAAGAGCTGGACATTGACAGTTTATGATAGTTCGCTGACAGAGGTCTTTTTGCAGCGTACGCCTATCAGTGTCTTCTTGAGCTCTCTGTAGAATTTTGCGTCATCTTCGTGTGGAAGCATAGTGAAATCGGTTAGCAGCGATAACTTATTGATATAAAAATTAAATATTATAGTTCCGCGTGCCGTGCCTTGCGGCACTCCTCTACTCACTCCCGTCCAAGAGGAGGGTTTTGAGTTGATCCTAACCCCTTGCCTTCTATCCATAAAAATTCCCTGATCCAGTCTATTAGGCTTCCTTTGATACTAAGACTTTCCAACTTCCTGAGTAGTCTTTTGTGGGGAACTTTATCGAAGGCTTGGCTGAAGTCTATGAAGACGACGACAATGCATTCTCTGATGTCTCTTGATTTGACTCGGCTTTATCTTTCAGTGAGGACATCGGACAGGCATGAGATGTTTCCTCAGAAGCCATGCTGTGCTTTAGATAACAAATAGCTATTTTCCTTATATGGCATGGTACTTTTCTTCATGCTTATTTCCAGCGTCTTCATTAAACTGCTGGTGAGACTCATAGGCTTGTTATTTAAAGGGCTTTTTCCTGATCCTCTCTTGTTGACGGGGGTTACTATCCCGTCTTTCCAGTCATGAGGTGACTCTCCATTTAGGAGAGATGAACCGAAGATTGTGGTCATTGGGCTGGCTATTTGAGCCGATGCTCCATGAGAAGCCTTAGATGAAGATTATTATGACCCATTTATTTCCATGAATCTAGTTTCTTTAGGAAGTTGAGCACAATGTCATGGTCAACATCAACGAAGTCTATTCTGTGTTCCTCTGACGCAGCCAGAGCTGACCCTGTAGGGAGTGATGACGTTTGTGTAAAGACTTGGGAGAAGTAGTCTGCCATTGCTTCTGCTTTTTCCTTAGGTTGTGCCTTTGCATTTTGGACCAGATGTCCTTAGAACTTCATCCTTGATTGGTGGATTTTTGCAAAAGCTTTGTTCTCAGTGGTGCTATAAAATTTTCTGGTCTCAGGAGTCTCAGGTGTGGCAAACAGGTTCCAACATTTGTGTTTACGCCTGAGTAGTTTACGGATCTCTCGATTTATCCAAGGGAGGCAATGTTTCGCAACCTTTGTGGCAGACCAAGGGATAAAACGTTGGGTTACTTGGCGTAGAGTTGTTTAAATTGGTTCCATATGGCTTCTACTTGGGACTCTGGGTTGACATACCAGTTCACTGAGTTGGTTGGTGAGACTTTCGGATTTATGTAAGCCTTCCAAACGCTTGGTCGAGCTGGAGTTTTGGCCCATGGTACTTCTGTTGTGAAGTTGAAGGTGAACACAGCGTTATCACTTCTTCTTAAAGGAAGAAGATGTATGAAATCCATATCCTCTTGATGGGAGAACACGAGGTCCAGGTTTAAAGAGGATTGCTGTGAGTCATAGCGTGTCGGCTTCACGATATGTTGGACTAGGGCTAGTGAAATGCTAGATTCCAGCAGTTTATAATCACAGCTGTCTGAAGATGGTGTTGTAAGGCTTGTCCAGTCAACCATTGGGGCGTTGAAGTCGGCGAATATGAGGCTTTGACATCTCGATGTCCGACAGCCCAGCTTCTCCATTAGGAAGTCGTCTACACTGCAGTCAGGACCGCCGCATATAGCAATGAGGTCAATATCATAGCCTATACATTTAAGTCTTCAGCGCAGTTCTCACGGTTCGCTTTCGTGTTAGAGTAGTCCGATGCTACGCAGGGTTAAGCTCTTCTTGAGGTGGATGACTACGTCACCTCCTTTGTGGCTTAGTCGGTCCACCCTATCCACTTCGAAGTTTGTCAAGTTAACTTCGTTGTCATTAACATCGGGGGTGAGTCATATCTCTGTGATGATAATTATATGCGAATTTCCAGAGTCTATCATGTTACCCAGCTCACTCCGTTCGTTCGACAGGCTGTAGGCATTTGTGTGGCAAACCGTTAACTCAGTTTGATGATTCTGCGGCCTACTCGCAGAGTAAGACTTTGACAAGGCGTACCAGCTGATTTACTGTAGAGTCGCGCTTTTTACCGGTTTTATGCGAGCTGTGTATGGTTACACATGATCCTGTTGTTGGCAGCGGCCTATCTAAGAGGGCCTTGACCCAGTCAAGGTCATGCTGAAGCCCGACCTTGGGATTGGAAGCCAATGATTCTTTCTCTTTTTGGAGAATGAGTGACCCGTCAGCGATACCAGGTTTACGTGAAGTGCCTTGTCGATGACGCTAGCCACGTCGTCGGTTTCTGAATAGTAGTCGCTCTTCTCTTGTGGTGGAGGACCTTCGCAGTCCTGGGGCTTTATAGCCCCATTGAGAGTGACAGTGGCTTTCGTAACACGAAACTTAGTCGTACTGCAGCAGCACTCTTATGCTGGAGTTAGGTTTGTGTACATGCTGTGAAACCATCTTTTGCAGATATCACACTACATTCCTCCTGCAAATGGGAGAGAACACATAACTTCCACAGCGATTCATTTTTATAAGCATACTTTTCAGAGTGAATTGGGACTAGATCCCAATATGACATTATATGTATGACCTTTATGTAAATCAATGACGAGAACAATGAGTGTATAAAATGGATATAAAATATCTATAAAGTTATAAGAACACACATTCTGTGAATAAATATACTCAAAACTAAGGAGTAAACTAACTTTGATCGGAATAAGCCGTTTTAAAGTTAATATATAGACTTCTGGCGAGTGTAACAATAAAAGGCGAAATTAAGCAAGAGCGTGCAAAATTCAGTTCTTTTTCAAAGTCCTCACCGTAGCGTGTTTATTTAAGGACATATTTGAGAAGATCTCCATTAGTCGTATAACAGTGGAAGTTTTTACTTACCTACTCTATAAGGGTACGCCTTAAATATTGAACATCTACACATTTGTTTGTATTAGTATTATCACTGCCCTTGCGTCTCTTTCGAATGACAATTTAATTTGCTTTGTGTTCGATGCATTATCCTTGTCATCTAGCGAATTGGGATATTTTATTAGACTTGGAATTAATTGTTAGATAATTTGCCGAGGCTGAGAACTTAAACGAAGCCTTCACGTCCATCAAAAGTCAGTAAAAAATGAGCTTGACATCCAGGATTACTGGCGGTGCTAGCTCAGGTGTGAACCATAATGCTGCAAATCCAGGGCCAAAATTGTCAGGGAACTTTCCACCGGGTACTCAAGATGCAGCTCCATCAAATGCAGCCGCCAATCATACTACAAGCTCTACACGATGTTCTAGCGGTGCTCTAATGAGTTTACTGAATAGTGGATTATCTGTTCCTCGTCAGATGATGGTGCAAGCCCGGGGTGCCCAAGACAACCAGCATATTCCCATACATCTTAGTTTCATTGGGACTATTGGACAGGGCACTTTTGGACAGATTGAACGTGCAAGCCTAACTGTTTCCACAACTGCTAACCAAGGCACACCCGGTAAAAAGAACTCAGACGTTAGTAGCCTTCCTGATGGAGGACAAACTCTGCAAGTTGCAGTGAAGCGTGTTTTGCAAGATCCCCGGTATAAGAACCGTGAGCTAAGCATCATGCAACGACTAAATAATCACCCCAATGTTGTTAAATTTTACTATTATTACTATTCGACGGCATCTTCGAATAGTCGAAGTCATAGAAGTGGCAGCGGACGTACGAGCTCATCTACATCTGGTGTTGATGTATTCCTCCACCTCGTGCTAGAGTGTTTCCCTGAAAGTCTGTGTGAGCTGATATATCGTTATTCTCAGAGGAATCTAAAAATCCCAGCTTGTACAGTAAAGGTCTTCACCTACCAGATGTTAAAGGCTTTAGCTTACCTACATAGTCATCAGATTTGTCACCGCGATATCAAGTCATCAAACCTCCTAGTCAACGAAGAAACCATGGTGTTAAAAGTTTGCGATTTTGGAAGTGCCAAGGAAATGGTGCCAGGGACTGCCAATGTTTCCTATATATCATCTCGGTAAGTTGAAAATGGCGTTTCATGTATACCTTTGCGTTTTCGCAGTTGTCTTTCATTTATGTTACTCATATTCCGTATATGCAGTAGGAGTGTTTGAGCGTTGCCAGTCCTTTCAAATTGTTTAACTTAATCATACGGAAATAATGTCCTGTTCAATCCTCTGCTAGCTTGCTTGGTCTCAGTCTGATATATTGCAGTGTTGTCCTCAATTTAACGTTACATTACAAATCTGTACAATTTCACCGGTCTGGTTTATATATCTGTGGGAGAACTCTGCTCAAAGGAATTTTGGGTCTTGCTCCTTCATGAAATAGGAATAAGCTTCTGATACTAGGATAATGTAATCACAGCATCCGGACTGATAGTTGTGCTTATCTAATGCTCATGAAATAACTCGTGGAACTAAAACTGGAGTTACGCATAACAGAACTTACATATGACGAGTGTTATTTTGTTATGTAAACTTAGCATTCATCTACTAATTATGACATTCTCCTTACGTTTTGGAATCCTCGAGATTTCAGTACGATAACTTGATTATTAGTCCCAAGGGTGTAGGGGACAATAGCGAGCTCGGTGACGGAATAAATATTAGAATTTAAAATGCAGGTTAGTGAAATGACAGTGTAACAGTATATTATAAAAAATACAGTTTACAAATTATAGAAATTAATGGTCATTTCGTGATGCAGTTTAAGTTCTGTTACAAATTATTAATATAATCCACAGTAGCGCTGATTTCTGAAATCGTGTCTACTAGTGGAAGCTGTGTACCGGTTGTAGAATAGTCTTCGGATGAAGAGACAACACGGTTAGTAGTGAATCAAGTAGACAGCATAGACCAGCGAGAAGAGGAGGCGTCGAGCAGCACACGGCGTTTTAGATTGTACTCCGAAGACATGAATATTTTACAATGGATCATTTTAAACAAAAGTTGTATACAATACTTCCAAAAACTGCACAATCATATTGTTCTAGACTTCACAAGGGTCTCGTCCCTTCATTTTGTAGGCTATGAAACACTGTTGTTAAGTGAGGGCTGATCACATTACCCGGTTGCCCAGGCTGAATTAGAAGGGTGGGAAATCAGTTTGTGACTGACTGAAAGTCTAGTGCTTAGGTCAATGCGCCACATCTCCACGCTGTCAACCTTAGTTGATTTAAACTCAACTACTCAGAACAGACTATTTTTTTCCCTCCACATTCCCATTGAAACATAGGGCTTCAAGGTAGTGGCTTGAAGTTTCTGTAGCAGTGTTTATTTTACAGGATGGGGTTGCTAGCCTCATGCCCAACCTTTCCTTTTTACCAGCATTATTTCTGGCTTAGGGAGGTAAAGGAGTGCGTCGGCCGGGGATCGAACCCCAGACCATGGGCATGGTCGGCGAGCGACCTAACCGCTGTGCCACCGACGCACAGGAACAGACTATGTATCATATCATTGGCCATGCTTACGTTGTGAAAGTTGATCGTAGTAGCCAGTGCGAAGTCCATAAGTTTGACTGACGGTTCTAGGAATTCAGATAAAGTATCTTCACGCTCTAAGCTTATGTAGTGCGATGCACATTAGTATACATGCTGAACTTCATATTGCTATTTGGTATTACAAAATGTCACATGCATATTGAGTAAAATAAAGACCAAAGTCAGTTATATATATATATATATATATATATATATATATATATATATATATATATATATATTCACGAATGTTATTTCTGAGCCGTAACATAATTCTCTAGCCATATTTTTCAGTGGTCATGGATTCTTGAGTCTATAGATCTACACTTTCTGACATGTTTCAGAACGGGAACTACTAGCTGTATGGTTTAATATTGTCATGAACAGATCTTTCCCATGCTTACTTCCTGACTGATATCACTTCCTCTAACGTTAAATTTTTCGGCAGAGTTCGCGTAACATGTGCAGGTGTTTATGTGCTGTCTGATCTATGTTTTGCTTTCAGTTATTTTTCCTTCAATACTAAGGAATTTTTTCCTTACGACATGGGTTTGTGTTGTGTAGCTCATTAGCTTAAGCTCTTCATTCAGATGAAGAATCTCAGGTAATAGTCCTGCTGAACGTACTGCAGCCTGTCCAACTATCATAGTTTAATTAACCCTTGCACGGTACTAAGTTTCAACATAAAGCTTTGCGCAGAAGTGCAGCGGTTCAAGTTGTCACATTCCATGTAATACACAAAGTAGACAAAAGAAAAGACTGAGAGAACTATAATAAACAGAAATGTGACGGAGAAGAAATAACATGGGGAAACATGACGGTACATTGGATATGGGATTTCACAAGGAGTGAATGCACCTGAGCCATTGAGAACGATTTTCAGCGACATCTCTGTTAGTCTACAGCTATTGGTTTTTTGCATCCAGATGAACCCAACTGGACACTTCCCTACTTGGTTCAAACCAACAGTTAAAGATTTCATGGACTGATTCCAGGTTTTGGTTTGACCACTCTGTCCTACTCTTATCCGTTGTCAGCTAACAATGTTCATCGAGGGAAGCGATGGCTCGGCATATCTAACACATGGCCTAGACAACCTAATCAGTGTAGTATTAAACCGGTTTAATATCACTTTGATAAAGCTATTAGCATTAAATAGCGAAACGTCAGTAAAGACAATATCATTTTTTTCATTCATTGGGAAATACAAAAACCTTTATTGTAATGACTAATCAATGTAGCTTCACAACCTTGAGTGGTGGTATCGAAGATGATGATGACAATGGCAACGTCAAAGGTAGTTGCAGACATGACGAATTTATATTTATAACAATAAGACTAGAATTTTGATTTGTCCGCTTTTTAAACTCTTCGTTGGTATTTTCATCTGTACAACTGTGTTAAATAGATGATTCCATCGGTGACTACGATTGTGCAGGAATATATCAGTGTTATATCCATTTCTGACTCTGTGGCACGCTAGCAGTTGATAGATTAAGCAGTCCGAAGTCATCAGTAGACAGATTTATTCCATACAGGCAGCTTAGCCGTTCTTTTAAACACAGAATAAATTAATAGAATGTAGTCACCAGTATAATATCATGGTGTTTTTGATGATGCTCTTGTGACGAATTGTCTGTAGTTGAATGATCAGACATACTATTTCTACTGTTATCACAATAGATTAGTTCACTACTATTTCTATTAGTAATAGTATTCTTTTGTGTTTTGACACCATGAAATAGTTCCACATTCTCCTCACCCACTTTTACACTATTATTGCCATTATAGTCAATTATAGCTGGTTCTGCATCTGTTAACAATTCATACATCTCTAAGTTTGAATCCCTCAAACCAGCATCGTGTGAATATAAGCAGAATTTTAGTTGGTGATTAACATTACCGATACCATAATGATTAGATAAATAGGCTTCTTTAATTTGCTTTAAAGTTGAATTTGTCTCATCACAGGATTGCAGCAACACATACAATTTGGGTTCTGCAAATTTAAGAACAAGAGAGGCTTCACTACCTGTCAGTAATTCGAACGCCATCTTCACATCAGTCAGGGGATTAGCATTAAAAAGATTAAATGTTTTAACAAAAGCGGATTCCATGATGCACTGTATTTTGAGGTTTAACTCAGGTGAAGTACTGGGATATGAGCTGGACGGTTGAAAACATACGACCATCCCACATGGCTTCATGCAGCCAATAGGAATGATTGAACATAAGATTCTAACTTCCTGTTCATGCTCATATAAACATGAAGTTTACTTTAAAATCAGTAGTCCGTAAGGGATCCTTTAAATGCGATGCAAGCCATTCAGCGCTTAAACAAAAATGAACGAAGGTCAGTAAATATTGCAGCTATAAATGCATATTCTGATGGAAAACTAGTGTTATGCAGTCCATTGAGAATTTTCAGACCCCTGTTTACGACAGAAGGGTCACCACAGTATGTTTCACACTTCCAGTTTTTGAACCATCAATGCTCGAGTAGAGTTTGCGCGATGTGCTATTTCATAATGTCCATCTACCAACTGTTTGGATTCAGATATGTTACTTAGAGCTCTACCATCTTCGACAGACATAGGATCCTGACTACTCGTGTCGTCGAACCCACTCATAAAACTATTCAAACATGACCTCGGTTTTTTCTGTGGGCAAAGTATGATTCAGCATATTAGCTTCTCCAAGGGGACTTTACATGGCGCAAGATTCATTAGCTCCACCGAAGCTCTTACCAACCGCTACATGTACTTCTGGCATGTTACAGCCAGTAAGCACCTTAATCTCTTGATTCTTAACGTTTGGTAGAACTATGCCATTGTAATTGGCTTCACAATAATATCTGATCTGTTGTCGGTACAAATCTTCACAACTGGGATAATTCCTTTACTGTCTATACCTTTGACACAGTAACCAGAGCATATGAATGTAGCGGAGAAACCTCCAGTTGAAGGTTCGGTCCACGACATGCTTTTGCCTGGACGCTTCCTCTAACAATTCTAAGGCTTTACAATATCCTTTCTCCGTCTCCAGCGGAACACAGTATTTGATAACATCTCTTGCCTTACCCTCACAATATTGAATCGTGATTCAATTTAGTCCGGTGTCCGATAGCATTATTATCCACCCAGTCCTCAAAATTCTTCATAAAATCCCAATAATTTATAGGGTTGCCATCAAAGTTAATTATTTCTCTTTTAGGCATGTCCAGAAACTTAGATATGGTTTTAGCAAATTCATCATTAGAAAAAATACCAGCTGCAGTAGAGACGAGAGGTGTATTAAGCGACTTTTTGTGATTAAAACGTTCTGGTCTGCGTGTTCAGACCAAAGCAGGTGGTCGTCTTAAGTGACCACTCTCGGAGCCTTTGACTCGAAGTCTCATGCACAAGGCAGCGGAGCAGCGTCAAGGAGCTACGTTTCCATGGTTGCCGGTGACCAATACAGGTTCGTACGCCATTCAATCCGCGTAGATTTTGAAGCTCATGTACCCCATTGTAACTGCCTTTAGTCTAACTCCTATC